TGACCTGGAGTCTGAAGATGAGCTGCAGATTGATGAGACCCCCCCTCCACGACGCAAATCTGCAGGACCTAGCAAAAAAAAGAAACTAAGCGGTTAGCATTTGACTTAAAGCAATGGTATTAAGAATGCTTAAATTAATGTAGAAGTTATCATACGGACATATGTTTCTTTCATTTTTTTACCCTGCCTACAAAGTCAATGAGAGTGCTTGAACTGTTGGCTAAATGTAGTACCTAATATAGTTTTGTAGTATGGTGTCAAAAGCCACCTTGTTACTGTAACCTAACTGTTAAAACGTGCCTTCAGGTCTTCCAAGGAAGCTGCCCAGAGCCAAACCCTGCTCTGACCCCAATCGCATCAGAGAACCAGGGGAGGTAGACTTTGACATTGAGGTGAGATCATTAAGGCTACACCAATCAGGTTTTGTGGAGCCAATGCTGAATTGCCATCTTTAAACTTTAGTAGCCAGTGTAAGTCAGTAAATCAGTCTCCAAGATGAAAAATTTACTTTACACATGCCATTCCAGTCTTTACATCTGTAAAGATTTCCTGATTGTGATTACATTATGGCTTTGAGTTTAGCTTTGGTTCAATAGTAATCATGGCATGTTTATGCATGTGGCTTCAGGAGGATTACACCACAGATGAAGAGGCACTGGCTGCCCACGGAGTGAAGGGTGGCGCGGGGGGCATTCTGGACTTATTGAAGGCCAGCAAGCAAGTGGCAGGCTTGGACTCTGCAACACTTAGGTTAGATTTCCTTGATTACTAGTGATTTGTTTATTATTTTATTTATTTAAGACACAAACTCAGGAAGAGTCTCTCATGGTATTTTAAAATACATTTATTTAAATAGTTACACGTAATTTGATTTCCCTGTTGTTTGAACCTACAGTCTGTATTTGAAACACACTTCCTGATCTTTGGGTACCAGTGACTAAACTACAGCAATTTTTGAGCACAAGTGGGAATAAATGTCTTAGCGTGTTGCTGAAAGAATCCAATAACCTTTGAATATTTCACATATTTGTAGTGGCTTTAGCTCTGTCCTGTGTTTAGGAGGTTATTTTGGAGACGATGAGTGATTGCTTAACTCTGTCCTTTTCTCAGTGAGGAAGCCCCAGCCTCTCCCAGTACTCGTGATGCCATTCAGGGCATGCTCTCCATGGCCAACCCTCCTTCCTCATCCTCGTCTTCCTCCTCTTCATCTCCCTTATCTATCTCTGGAGGCCTGACAGAGGGATTAGGGGTGGTCAAAGAAAAGGGTGGCAGGGCTGTGTGGGTGACTGGAGGGGTCAAAAAGACAGGAAATCCTGAGAAGAAACCTGTCATCCAGCGGCCTGGGAAACGGCCAATTAAACGGCCGGCTCGTCACTTTAGTGATGAGGAGAGTCCAGATGAGCAAGAGACTCTGGGAACCTGTTTTAAAGATTCAGACTATGGTGAGCAATACAATCAGTGACTTACATCTGCTGCTTTACAAGCACTGATGTTTATATCCTTTATTGATCAATCCAATGATTAATTATGTTAATCAAATGTTTAAGTTTACCCGTCCTTGGAGTCTGATGAGGAAGACCATGCTAACAAGGCTAAGATGAAGCGCAAGAAAAACTGGGATGACACACCTTGGAGTCCAAAAGGTACTTGGCTTAAACATAGCAGCAAGATGGATCAGATTTGCTTTTTAGCTTTCTAAAGGTTGATCTTTCAAATTTCTTCTTATTTATAGCCAGGGTGATGCCCACCCTTCCCAAACAAGATCGGCCAGCCAGGGAAGGGGCTAGAGTCGCATCTGTAGAAACTGGACTTGCAGCCGCTGCTGCCAAGCTGGCACAACAAGTAAGTTGGGTGGAAAAAAGTATGTTGGCCTTAGAAGTGTGTGTGTTGTAGCAACTATCAAGGATAACAATTAGTCACTGAGAGGGCTAGCAGGGAAGTCTGTCCAACATGATATGACCAAACAAGAGCACAACTCTGTAACTTTGTTCTGAATATTTATTGTCAAGACAAAAAAACTTACTACCTTACAGGATGCTGTGCAATAATGCACTATTGTGGCAAACTGGACAGAGACAGGAATTCAACTCAAATATGTCCCTCGCTCCTACAGTGTGCCCAGTGAATAATGTGGAGTAGAAGTATCTTTCAATAAAAGATAATAACTCTTATTTCTGTTTTAAAATTATGATTCAGGAGCAGCAAAAGCCCGCTAAAAGGAAGTACACCAAAAAGCAGCGTCCTCCTGCTCCAGTAGTCACTCCTCCGCCTGTTCAGACTGAGGCCGCCCCACCCTCCCCACCACCTGCTCCAGAGTCTGCAGCAGACTTCAGCCCAGAAAGGAGGATGGATTACTACTCTGCTAGTCTGTTGGACCATGAATATACAGCAGGACCAGGACCTTTTGGCCCCGGAGGCCCTAGAGGTAGTGGTGCCATGGCCCCTGGTGTATTCCTCACTTCACGCCGACCTTCCCTGTCTCCGCAGAACAGCAGCTCTCACTCTGGTGCATCCCCTGCAGGTTTAGCTAGCCAAGGCACAACAGGAATTGGTCAAGGTAAGCATAAACTTAAAACATTGACAGTATAATTGTTGATCTATGTGATAGAATATTTTCTAATGTATTTCCCCTCTCATTTTAATTTAGGGAAACGCCCAAAGAAAGGACTTGCAACTGCAAAACAGAGACTTGGAAAAATTCTGAAAATTCATCGCAATGGCAAACTTCTCTTGTGAGAGTTGTTGTAAATGTGGCTGAAGACTTAAATGGGAATGAAGAAAATGGATTTTGTGAAAGTAGGTCTGAAGGAAATAGAGATAGTAATCTATATTTTGTACTCTAGGTAAATTTGTTTACTGTTTTCACCTGTTATTGAACCTTAATATATCTTGTCCTACACCAAGTATTCGGCCCAGCTAATTAGCATCCTGTTTTGGCACTCCACTTATCTACATCTGCCTAAAGGTATTTTCAGAGGCACATCTGTGACTTTAAACAAATCACTGTAATGCTTTAGATAAACAGCTGCTGTGGTAAATAATACTTAAATGATCACATATTTGACATTTGACAGGAAACAGGAAATTATGGAAAGTGTTTCGAAATGACAGGTGGACAGTGGTTAACTAGCTAGATTAACTAGCGTCATAAATAAACAGCTGAATTGTTTCTTTTCTTTATATCTTTTGTTATTTTTAGTGGCTGTATTTATGTAAAGACATTGTACTATCCATCATAATTTTTTAAAAGGGAAAGAAAAACAAACACATTTTCTAGTCAGGTAAAATGTAATGTCTGTATAGCCCCAAATCCCACAAAAAGAATGAGAGACACACACACACACACAGTCATGCAGTTGTAACATTGTATTTAGTTTTCTTATTACCTCATTTTTACCTCATAAAATCTTGTTTTATAAGGTGATTAAAGCATGTCAGTCTTAACACACAATTAACAGATCTGCAAAAATCCAGTGTGCACATGGTCAGCACCCAGTATGCCACATGTATTTACAAATTTGTCACTGTTTGTATAATCCATTTTCCTCCATATACTGTAGCTCTACACATAAAATAGAAAGTGCTAAACTGATGCCAAGAGTAACATACAATTCTATTTATTCTGATCATATTTATTTACCAGTGCAATGTTTTGCCATCTCTTAGCCTGTTTTAATGTAGTCTGTTTTTACCACCATATCTTCTTGGTCCCTACTTTAATTATTTTCAACCACTTAATACATGTACAAAAATTTTATCCATGGCTTTGTTAGAATTTTTTACAGTTTAAGTTGTCATTGTAAATATTTGTAATATTTGTAATGTATATAGCTACATTGGAAAAACAGAAAACTATTATGAGTTGAAGAGACTAGTTTCCTGCAGGTTGCCATAATCCATGCCCCAAGTATTGGCGGCATTCTTGGGCCAGATGTAGAGACATGCTTTCTTTCCACGGAATGTACTAGTGATAAAATGTTTGCAGAAATGTAGATTTAACTGTGTGAAAACATTGTGAAGGTGCAGGATATGAATTCATATGTAAATATATGTTGTAATTTAAGTTCTTTTATAGTTCAAAAACTTTGAAATCTTTCTTAACATAACTTGTACATGATACATTGCTGTATTTGGAAAATATCTGAAATAGTTCTTTTTTATATTTGTACGCAGTGATTGTCATGCTTAGTTTTCATGTTGTCTTGTTACTATAATATTGGAAGTGTGTTGGAAAAAATGCCCTTGTTAAATTTCATCCATTTAGTTTTATATTAATTGTTGTTGATATTCACTCTTGTGTTGGTGTGTACTGTGTGTTTAAACATGATGTGTTTAAATACGACCTGGAAATGATAAAATATACCTTGGGCAAAATTTCTTTTTCATTGACTTTATTTGAGGAACACCAAATAACCAAAAATGTGATTTGTGGGCCAAATGAATGGTTTTCTGTTTACCATACTTCACTCTACAGGAGAAAGTCATCATTAAGATAGAGCAGAGTATTGTGTTGTATTAAACATATCTTCACTTAATGATTTCTTCCAATGAAAGTACAATTTGATGCTTTGTGGTACATACAGGACAGAACAAAAGCCACTTTAGATATTAATTTTGAATGATGACTGGTGACTACAGTTTTTCTCAGGGTTTGTACCATTATTTTCATATCTAAACCATCAACATTAATTCCATTGCTCTATTTTAAATTTCACTCAAACAGGTTAATGCATTTGTTATTAAATTGTGCAATCTTTATTTCTTAATTGTCAGTGAGTGTGAATACACTTTCATATTAAACTGAATTAAAATATATTTTTCATAAAGCCTGGAGAATTCTGCTGCGTGCTTTCGTGTGCACATCATCATCACAAGATTGAGGCTGGAAATACCAGTTAATAGGCTGTATGTCCAGTAGCATTGTTTTTCTACAACAATTACAAGGGAGTGCCCTGGTAAACGCAGCTGCAGGTATTCTCGCGAGATCCAAACTGCCGTACCAGTCGCTAATGCAAGATGGAGAAGCAAATGTAACACGCATTCGAGGTAAGCAGAAGGACTTATTCCAGACTACTGACATGGGTTTTAGCTAACTGGTGGCATACATTCCCCCTCCTTAACGACTACCATCGAGTATTCTTATCCTCAATGGGATCCGAGACCACAAAACTGGTGTCTTTTTGAGGGTGAAGTACGAATCTTCTGCTGTGTAAACCGCCATTTTTAATTTAGCCATGATTCCACTGATAGAGCATTGTGCGGAGCTCTCACTGCTAGCTAGCTAGCCTCGCGCGAAACCCGCAAACATACACACACACTTATGTTCACTGTGTGGGTATGTGCGCCTCTGTACAACTACAAGTCAAAGCCATATCCTCGTTCAATGACTACTCTCGTTCCTCGAGAATAAGCGGTGAGAGTTAAAATATGTGTCAGGTTGCAGATGTGACTTTTCGTAATATACTAACGTTACCCGTCAGAGCGGAATTTGAGGCGAAGTAACAAACGTTAGCCTAAACTGCTAGTGAACCTAGCTAACGTCACCTAACTAGCTTTTAACTTTGCTAACGTTAGCGCCACCGTTGAGTTCGCCTTAACTGCGTAGACCGCTGCCTTAATAATTTTGACAAACTATGTGAGCTGATTTTTACACGGTTGCAACTAACTTAGCTAATTTGGGAGTGATAAACGATTTAAGGAGTGTTGTAATGCTACGGCTGTTACTGTATTTTCGGATGCAGATGATGATCTGAGCTGTTCATAACGTCAGTAGCTAATATTAACATTAATACCGCGTTGTTGTTTGTGGATGTAATTATCAAGAGAGGCGTAGTAGATTAAATGCATAACTAGCGGTAACAACAGGCTGTTCCATAGGCTTTGAGTCTTTGAAAGCAATGGGATGTCTCTTAATGAAAACAGTCAAAACAATTTTAATGTAAACTATATAAAGTGAATCTGTGGTACCTGTCAGCATCCCCTTTGGTCCTTGCCATCCTCTCAGAAACTGACCATTTTAATTATATAACAACAGGAGGAGTGGACTTGTAGCAAAGAATGCTGCATACTGTTTTGATTTGTTCTGTATTAAACAAAGACTGAACAGTGGACAGCAAAAGCTAACCTGAAGGTACAGACACTGAAAAGTGGCCTGCAAATGTTTTGTCTGGGAGAAAAATTAGCATGCACCCCAAAGTTGAATCACCTCAGTTAATTGTATGTATTCATTTACATTTTGTGATTGTAAATACAACCATTTAATTACTAGATGTTTAAGTGATTTTGATTGCCTGAAATTCCAAACAAAGCACTGCTGAGGTCTGACTGTCATTGTTCATAATGAGGCTTGCAGACTTTTACAGTCAACCTGATTGACCTGTCCAAGTCATGCACATGCATAGTGAAAGCAGGTCTGAATTGAGCAGCCTAGTTTTGTGGCAGACAATCACTTAAACTTGGTTGGGAGTGATAGGTTTCTAGTCCATGCCTCTAATTAAGAATTAATAATCTGCATACTGAAGATGCACAATGTCTATGATTACAAAATTTGATAACTTAGAAGTTAAGTGTGTTTGTTTTTGAATAATGCTTAGAAATAATACATGCTGAAGCACTGCAAAATTTCAAAGAAATTCTGCAAACATGTAATAACATGTAACTGTAAAACAGCAAGGAAATCGTGCAGACTTCAAAGCTAGAAAATAGAGAGGGGTTTTGAGGTGAGGTTAACTGTCAATGGCAGAGAAAGTTTTTTAATTCAAACACTGGGAATAAGGTTGATGTCTTAACAGTAACAGTATTAGCACAGAATGGTATTATATCTTAATATAGTTGGGTTTGCACAGTTGCCATAAGTGCTTACCCTTTTCACCAACACTAAGTACCTTAAGTGTAAATCTGTCAGGTAAAGTGGTTTACCAATGATCAAGTTGCTTATATTTTCTTATCCTGTCATATCTGATTTGATTGTTTTCTATATGTTTTCAGATAGTTTAAAGAAACTGCAAAGCAAGCCAAGGATGACAATGGTGGAGCTATTCAACCAAAGCGGTTTCTGGTATGTACTACTAACCTATATTCTACATTGACTGAAACTGTTCTAGTGAAACACAGTAATACATAAGGGTTACAGTGATTTGCCATCAATATTTGCTTCCAGGTCTATACCATCCCACAAAATAAGTTAATCATCACTTAGGGTTAATATCATTTATCGCACATAATAAACAATAACAACAAGGGGAGGTAATTTTCCAGCCTTTTCCATAGATAAGATATATATCTGGTAGTTAAATTAGGTATATCTGAAATATTTTGCAACTCAAACTAGCGGTAGGTTCTTCACATTCCTCAATAATAAAAAGATAATTTCAGCCTTAACTTTACTTATTCTTATCTTCCCTATGGTCTTACGCATCAATCGAGATGGTTTTGGTGAGATTTACTGTGATTTGCATTTATCAGCTGTAATTCACCTCAGTACAATGGAGCTCAGTGACACAGGTTTTGTGCTTCTCATAGCACCAGAACATTATTTTGAAAAAAAGTAATGTAATTTGACAAGACAATATCAATATTTGTGATAAGCCAATATCAACTGATATTGCATCATGATTTCTTAAACACATGGCAATCATTATAATTCAATCATGATAATCCAGAGACTTTAATTGAGTGAGTCCTACTCATCTTAATGTATGCTTTTAATTTTCATACAAATAATGGACATGTGAATTAATTTAATGGAGAAAACTATTAGGGAAAAACATTAGACATTGCCAAATGAAGTGTTTGGTGTATCAGATAAAGGAAGATCTGCTTAAAGAAGACTGGAAAAATAAATAATGATTTTAAAATAATTGGAAGAATATTCACAGAATATGTGTTGACAGAAGAATCTTGAAAGTTCACGAAATTCATATATATATATATATATATATATATATATATATGTAAATTGAAAGAACAGATTGCTTGACATTCCTGAACTGTCAGCAACCCAAAGTGGTTTTTCAGGGGCTTCAGTGAATCACATATGGCATACTGCAAGGCACTGTTCTGGTAATTTTATTTTCAATTTTAATTCTGGGGTAATATGAGCATTATGGTCTACCAAATAAAACTGTTCACTTAAAAATGTTGACATGTTAACTCCAAAACACCTTAGATAGCCGTTGTTTTATGGTGATTTATCAGGCTGGCTGAAGGAGGATAAATGCAATTCTTGTTTACTGATTACTTGGGGTAGGCAATATTGCACAGTGGCTAAACTAAAAGAACTAGTGAAATAACTGAAGAATTATCAACATTTGAATTCGTCAGTGGTACCACTAGTGAGCTATAACTGGCTGGCATAAGAACCAGAATGCTACATACCTCTTTGCTCCATTATTACCTGGTTTAGCCATAATGAAGTGTGCTCCAGTTTTAGTAAATATGCTCTTAAAATATGGGCTTTACTTTTTACACCTGTATCAAATACTGCATCTGTGTTAATTCATCGTGTTTCATTATTTAAACACAAGTAATTTTGGGTCACTGTTCACAATCAGTTGTTTATTACTTGTGATGCACATATAAAATGCAGGCCCCTATGGTGAGGTTGACAGTTACGTACCTGGTGGATTTTGATGATAATAAATTTGAGGATTATGTAGTTAAATTCATTTTTATTGTGGTGTTTTTGGTCGTATATTGTGGATGTAGTTAGTTGAAGACCTGTGTTGGTTTTGGGCGGCATACAAAATTACTGTGATTTTTTTTTTTTTTTCTTCTTCACAGAAGGCCAGTTGCCCTATATTAATATGCACTGCATCGATAAACAGTGGCTCATTCTCAGCCGTAACGTTATTCACTTTTTGCACACTACCCAGAGTCATGATGACTCTGCCAACAGCTAGTGCCTGTGTGCTATGGAAACAAGCGCGGATACTCTGAAAAATAATACAATGGACGGATGAACAACTTCTTTACCGAGTCGGCAACCGGTAGTCAATTTACCTCAGTGAAAATTGAAAACAAAACTCGCAGTGTCACGTTAGACCCATCCGACAATGATTCAGCGAGTTATTATGCGTTTCTGCTTGCTACTCAACTAACGGTAGCTAGCTTGCTAGCTAGCGCGTGCTACGACTGTCTAGCTGAGGAACCAGGGTAAGGCTCCGAGCCTTAGCAGAGTAACGTTAGCTTGTTCCAGGTATTTGACACACAGCAATCTTTCTGCTGCTAGTCACCGAGTGATATTTACAGTTTCGTTTTTACTTAAAGCGTGAATGGTGCAGGAGTGGGGAGTGCGGGTTTCTTTTGCGGCCTGCGCAGCCCCGACCTAAATTAGTCAAGAGTCAGGTCAGGACAGCATGGTGAATCTATGAGATCTGGATTGACAGCTGTGGCACAAATGGTTAAAACTGCCTGATTTTTGGTTAACTACATTTTAGATGTTTGTCATTGATTACACACAGGACTTGTTTGTGACTTGGCTGACTTTTGTACGGTCTGGTGGTATTCAAATGCTCTGAAGTATTTCAGGAGAATATCGTTTGCTAACGTTACCGGTAGCTACGTGTTAGCTGGTCAGGTGCTAACATCAACTCCGCAGCAAACATAACCGATCATTTTCCTCAGTTCGTTGAGCTTCCCAGCCTATCTTGTCTTGCCAGACGTGTTGCTAGCCACCCATCGAGCAAACCCGTCTCGCTTGTGACAAGTAACTGCAATCCTACATATGTATAGTGACTTGTTAACATTAGGTAAATAACGTTATGCTGCTAGCAAGGGTGACGTTAGCTTGTTAGCTTGGTAGCTATAACTTTAACCTGTCAGCGTCACTTTAGTTGACGAAGGGCAAGCAGTGAGGCAGCAATTTGTTTAATTTAAATATTTGATTCCCAAGTACTTGAAACGTAAGACAAATGTTTTAGGTAATTTAATGGGGCCTAACCTAATTTAATTAACTTTGTGTCGTATGTTGCTCGCTAGACACTAGCCATTGCTCTTCCTCTGTCTGCTTTGTGATGATCAGACCTGGCTAGATAACCGGCACAAATTTATTATCGTTATCACCTTTTAAATGATTGTAATCAGTCATTTGGTATTTACTACAAGGTCTTAAAGTAAAATAGGCATACACACTACCCTAGATTGATAGTGGAGAAGGTTCTTATAAAAATGCAAGATTGACTTGTGATTGTCTGTATTTTGCCATGTGTGGTTACTGTACATCATGTAATAATCTCCATATAATCAGGATGCACTGTCATGCATCCTGATTATGGATCCTGATTATGGCCTGTTATGACCTGTTTGCTATCCAATTAATTTACAGCTCTACCCACAGCCTTCTTCTAAACCATACTTTCCTGAGATTGATGTATCTTATAACCCAGTGTACACTGCTTTTTAAAGTTTGTTTTATGCCATGTGGGCCACTATTGCTAGATTGATTATTTATTTTTTTTGCCATCATTTTTACAGGTAATGTGACTGGAACATGCTGTTAAGTGGGTATTGCCAAATTATTTTCTGTAAGTACATTTCACAATTCATGCTGCATACAAATTCAGTTATTTATTCTGTATCTCATTGGCTTTACAGTATTTAGATGTTTAACATGCATTATTTGGCTCTTTTGGAAATTGTAGATCTAAGTAATTGTGAAACATAACACTGAATTCAATATCAAGTGTTGTTTTTTTTTTTTAATATACATGGAAATTTCTTAACAGGAGAAACAAACAGAGATTATCGACAATGAAGGTCGACAGAAGCAAGTTAAAGAAAACTCCTACGGAAGCTGTGAGTATGCACAATACTGCTGTTTGATCATTCTTAACCTCAATAGTCCCTAATTTCCATATAATTGGGATACCCAGGATGAACTTAAATATGGCCTCGTCCACTCTACTACGTTTTAGTTTTTAAATGCATCTCTTTTGCTACATTTATGCCTGGCGTCCCCACTACTATGGAGTTTTCAAGTGCCTAAAACTGAGAAATTTGGAAATGCTGCTGGTCCTGTTTTAGTTCAAAAACTCCTGGGTTGCCTTGCAGTCTGGATGGGCAAAAACAGACCTTGCAAACAATGATGTAGGCACCCACGGTTGCTCCCTGATTGGAAATCTGCCTGTTTACTACGGCTTGCTCAGTATACATGAATGGTCATTTATGTGCGTGTTTTCAGGTGTGCTTGTATGGACGAAGATTGTTTCTGATACAGAGCTAAAATGGTTGTCGGGACTGAGATAATTTTCCCTTTTAAAACACTGCTTTAAAATGAAAACGTATTAGTGTGGACGTAGCCTATGACCAAATGTGATAGGGGCCCATAATAGAAGTGCAACCCATGTGATTTTCTACATAATAGGAGAACTTGGTAAAAGGTTGCTTACTTTGATGTGTTTGACATTTGCACAAATAGCAATAGAAGCCTCTCACCTAAACCTCTTTGTCCTGAGGCTGCTTCTTCTACCATTCCTCCCATACATAATGATGGAATCCCAAAACCCTACTGAAAACAAGGAGTAGGCAGTTAGTTTCTCACTTTGGTGACAATAAGGATGTACTTACTACTGACTGTATATGCTTCAAAATAAAAGTCATAGCAGTGGTAAGCATTTGAGCAGCAGTGGGACATTTTCAGTTTGCATAGCAGTAACACAGCAATTGCACCTCTTGACATTGCATTAAAGGAGAGCAGATCACAAAACTGTGAAGGCTTCTATAAATAGGATAAAAATATTGTGGGTTCCCCCGTACTGTGAGTTTACAGAGGAAATGCAAATTTTAATGTTTTGGCCATGTCACATTGTTGCTAAAGCGTGCTATACTGTGCTAACAGGAAAGAGGCAGAGGTGGTCCATGCACTCTGCTTGACTAACCATTTTGTGTTCCAACAGCCTGCTGACTGCAGGATACTTATAGAGAAGCTGAAGGCATGCAGTGATGAGCAACTGCTGGTTGAACTGCAGCACATCAAGACCTGGAATATTGGCAAGGTAAGCCCCAAAGAAAAGATTGAGGGAGAGGCCCTTTCCTCTCTCTTTTCTTCGGGAACTCAGTGTATAACAGTGTATCTGTCATGTCAGAGTTCCCGCTGATCAAGGATTATGTGAAATATCATGATATAAGAGGTGTATTAAAGGATTGTTCTCTTGAATTTTGCACGGGACTACATCTAGATTAAACCTAATTTTGAAAATGGTGCATACTTGCTTGTGGCTGCATCATTGGCTGAAAAAAATGTGCCGTAATTACAGGCTAATAAAATGAGTTTGAAATTTAATTTAATTTTCTAATTTAATTGTGGGTAATCTATACTGCATCTTTACCAATAGCCATTCTCACAATTTTTTGTTCACAAATAATAACTTTTAAAGATTTTTTTTTTTTTTTTTAGATTTTAAGATTGCAACATTGCCTGACAGTATCATACAGATTAATGACAAACGCATTGCTGTGTGATCGGCTATTTTGACATTTAAAATTAGGGGTCAAAGAGAAGGCAAAAGACAACAAAGTTTTCCTGCCTCAGCCAGCTGTGACTGGACAGGCTAGAGACATACTGATTCCTGCACTGAGTGTCAGCTCATTGAGCTTTCGTTCAGTCCCCTCTGCTCAGTACTGCCAAATTCACTATTAAGTTCTCATGTACATGTTTTTCTGTTGTCTCACAATGTAACCAATCTGAAATGGTGAATTAATTGTGGCTCATCAATACATGTCAGTAGTCATTGTCAAGTTGCTGCTCTGCAAATCATACTTAAGATTGCAACATTGTCAGAAAAATTTACATAAATACAGGTCAATGATGACAGCTATGCTGTGTGATCTGCTTTACTGACATTTAAAATGAGAGATCACAGGTTAACTCTCAGTTTTGAAAAGGTCAGTTTTGGGGTGTGAAAATGCAGCTTTAGTATAGATGGAGAGCTGGAACACAGAGGAAAAGTTTTTTTTAATTTCATCAGCTTTATGTGGGTTCACGCTTGGACTGCTTGCCCACCATGATGTCTTGATTGTTTAACAAGTAATTACTGTTGCCCCACTTTTATGAGCATTTTGCTTATAATGGCTCTGCTCCATCAAAAAGTGTCAAAAATAAAGAATAAAACTGGCTGCTGAGAAGAGCAGGTATACAGCAAATGCAGAGATAACGAAACCAAATGTTGAAACCATCCTGAATATAAATTGAACGGCATTATAAAATCGGTCATATGCTTGGGTTGGACTTGCTATCATATACCTTCTCATAGTCAGAAAGCACTACCACTATGTTTTGGGGGAAAATAAAAAGGTCTGGGGTATTTAACATTCATTTGATTGATCACTGAAAATGATTTTTGTCTGTCTTAAACAGTGTGAGCTGTACCATTGGGTGGATCTGTTGGACCGCTTTGATGGCATCCTGTGTGATGCAGGCCAGACAGTGGAGAATATGTCATGGCTGCTGGTGTGTGACCGCCCCGACAATGGACAGCTCAAAGCCCTGCTTTTGGCAGTGCTCAACTTCACAGCCCTGCTCATTGAGTATAGCTTCTCTAGGCACCTCTACAGCTCCATAGAGGTAGGCTTGCACTTAGTACACTTTCAACCAATACTCTGCCTTTCTGGATTATACATATGTCACAGTGGAAAAACTAAAATAGCTCACTAACTCTGACCTTCTTTTATCTACCATTGTCATCCCCTTTACAGCACTTAACCACCTTGTTAGCATCATGTGACATGCAGGTGGTCCTGTCTGTGCTGAACCTGCTCTATGTGTTCAGTAAGCGCTCCAACTACATCACAAGACTGGGATCTGACAAAAGAACGCCTCTACTGGCCCGTCTGCAACACCTGGCTGAGGTCGAGTGAATACCATTGTTTTCCTCTTGCCATGATTCCAGCTGTCCTTCAAGAGAAAGAGCTGTATTGTTTAGTCTCTGTGTTCTCTTTTGTAGAGCTGGGGAGGAAAGGAGAATGGCTTTGGTCTGGCTGAATGCTGCAGGGATCTGCCCATGACGGTGAGAATTTTACAGTGATGCTCAATAACTGTCTGTGTTGACTACCTACAGCTATAGCACAACTAGTTTTGTGTTTATAAATAAGGCCTGTCAACTGAGACTAATTAACTACCATTTATAAATTATCTTTCCTTACTATGCTGCCCCCCATTGGTCCATGCACAGAAGTACCCTCCCAGTGCCACCACACTGCACTTTGAGTTTTATGCTGAACCCGGTCCTGAGGTCAAAGTAGAGAGGAAGGTAAAGACAAAGATATTTATTTATGCAATGATTATGTAATAAAAACTAAATATGTGTGCATTGTTGTGTTGATGGCTCAACTTCCTCCTAATCCTTTCTGAACTCTTTATTTCACCAGCAGACAAGTAGTAACACACTACACTATATCCACATCGAGCAGCTTGACAAGGTACAGTTGGATTTGAATTATATCACTAACAGTCGGGTTATAACATCATGGGTTCTTCACCTTACACATGGTGTCCTATGTCTCTCAGATTTCAGAGAGCCCATCTGAGATCATGGAGTCACTGACAGCGATGTACAACATCCCTAAAGACAAACAGACCCTGCTTTTCACACATATTCGACTGGCCCATGGTTTCTCAAATCACAAGAAGAGGTTGCAGGCTGTTCAGGCCCGACTGCATGCTATCTCTATACTGGGTGAGTAGAAGCTGCCTTCTTAAGTTAAAGTGACAAGGGGTTTTACTCCCAAGTTTTAACTGATGACTTTTTCTGTTTCTGTGCAGTGTATTCAAATGCACTCCAAGAGTCAGCCAACAGTATTCTGTATAATGGCTTGATAGAGGAGCTGGTGGATGTATTACAGATTACAGACAAACAACTTGTGGTAAGGGAGTAATTCACTTTTTCTGCATAATCAGTCCCATTATACTAAATGTCCATGCCACACTAGCAGTAGCACTGTATTTGTAAACTGACACTAGATATCTTTTGCTGCTTAGTCAGACCAAAAGTACTTTCAGATGACTTGAATGTGTGTATTCTCCAGTGTCAAAGCTACAGTGTGGTGAAGTCCTGTTTCACCTTCTGTTTTTGAAATAATATCTTTGATTTTGTTCTACAGGATATCAAGGCAGCATCTTTGCGCACTTTAACTTCGATTGTCCATCTGGAGAGGACACCCAAACTTTCCAACATAATCGACTGCACTGGCACTGCCTCCTACCATGGCTTCCTGCCTGTGTTGGTGCGCAACTGTATACAAGCAATGATTGGTGAGAATGTTGCAGAAAGTTTTGTTAAGAACAGTGAAGTGTGTGATACACAAGGACATATGACAATTAAAATGGAAGCTTGTGTGATAACCTTTCATTTTTGTTTCCTAGATCCTCTGATGGAACCCTACCCACACCAGTTTGCCACTGCACTCTTCTCATTCCTCTACCACTTGGCTAGCTATGATGCTGGGGGGGAAGCCCTTGTCTCCTGTGGCATGATGGAAGCCCTCCTGAAGGTATATTCTGGTCCTAACTATGTTGTGGTTTTATTTTCCACTTGTAGTTTTATTCTCAAAATGTTTAGGTTTTCCACTTTATCTTTTACATTGTAGGTGATTAAGTTCCTGGGTGATGAGCAGGACCAAATCACCTTTGTTACTCGAGCAGTACGGGTCGTGGACCTCATCACCAACCTTGACATGGCTGCCTTTCAGTCCCACAGCGGCCTTTCCATTTTCATCTGCAGGCTAGAGGTTGGTTATGAACTTTGCCTTTAGCTATTCCTAACACCTTCAGCCTTCAGCTACAGAGTCACTGAAATGTCTACGTAACCTCTGGATTCACACTATTCCTCTCTTCATCACGCTCTCGATCACTTTGTATACATAGCATGAGGTGGACCTGTCGAGGAAAGAGTGCCCTTTTGTCATCAAGCCAAAGATTCAGAGGCCTAGCGCAGCTGTGGAGTCTGAGGACATGGACACAGACATGGAGAGTAAGTCGCTGTTCCTAAGAACTGTGGAAGGTTCTCACTTTCAGAAATGAATATCTATAAGTTGAGGCTATAATTTAAAGTCTAGGCTATTTGATAATATTGCCAAGTTATAAAGAATCTTTCTGCTATTGTGTTAATTTTTTCCAAAATTATGTATTCACTCAGTGTCGGAAGTTGCCATGGAAAGCAGCCCTGGACCGTCAACATCTTCTGGCTCCAGACCAGAGGCAGACCACCGTGCACAGAGCAGCGCTGCTAACACGCCTCGTGCAGGTACACACAGCACACATACAAACAGACTCTTGTCGCTGTTGCGTTCTGTCATCACAATGGCACTCTGTCTTTCTAGGTATGCAGTGTATCCCTCAGAGGGCAGCTCTATTGAAGTCGATGCTAAATTTCTTGAAGAAAGCCATCCAGGACCCTGCCTTTTCTGATGGTATCCGCCACGGTAAGTCATGGGCATTCTCTCACTTGTTTTATAAATAAACTCAAGATCCAGGGTATCATACCAATCATGTTTAAACATGTTGCCTCAAGATCTATGCTTTTCATTATGCAAATGTTGACTGTTAATGTGTGTATCTGCACTCTCTGTTTTTCGCAAGTAATGGATGGGTCCCTGCCTACCTCACTCAAGCACATCATCAGTAATGCAGAATACTATGGCCCTTCGCTCTTCCTCTTAGGTGAGTTCACAGCAGCGCCTCAGAAAAGCCCTTCAGGTACTCTTCTGACAGAACTAGGTGCTGTCACTCAGTTTCAGGGACCCAACGTTTATGTCTATTAAACTGCGTATCAACTGAAAAAGGTAATTGAATGTGATGACATTGCAAATTTGTTACTGTTTTGGATTATGATTTCTTTTTTCTACACCCCCCCCCACCCCCCCACCCTTGTCTTTGTCTTTCTGGTTTGTAGCGACAGAGGTTGTGACGGTGTTTGTGTTCCAGGAGCCATCCCTGCTCTCCTCCCTGCAGGATAATGGTCTCACTGATGTCATGCTGCATGCCCTTCTCATCAAAGACGTGAGTTTTCAGCTCTGCAGCTGTGTGCTGTGGTTTATTTATTTTTTTGTCTCTGACAGTCTATGAGAGACCAGCACTATGTTTCATTTTTTCTTTCTCTCATTCTCTCAGCACATGTACTGAATTTGATATTTTAATTGTTATTTAAATGTTTCAGTTGTCTCCATGCATAGTACAGTTAATTGATTAACCTTACACTGAGTGCTTCATTTGCTTTGAATATTGATTGACTGTCAGTGTGAAAGGGTTGTCCTGTGCCTGTAAGTTCTCAGACCTATTCATGTATTAATTAAATTGACAAAACTATAAGCTTTAGTGTGAAACCATTATCACCTGGCAATAACGTCCGGTCACCAACAGATGGATCAAAACATACCTGAACCCCTCCTTGTCTTCTAAAAAACACTCTCCCTTGTTTTTTAATGGATTTCAAATTACATTTCTGTAGTGTGAATGCCAAGAAACACATGTTGTAGTATTGCAGACTTGCATGAGAAATTTAATTTAATCATTTGTGAAAACCTCCATGCCTTCATGCTGCCTATTGAGTTGCATTATCTACTTGTGTACAGAAGTTCTGCCGACTTGTTATACTGGTTCTAGATCTGTGTTTCTCCTAAACAATAAGAACATGCTTTAGAAAGAAATTAAAAGTGCAAGTATAACAGTCTGGTACACTGACCTGTGGTTTGTGTGGTCCACTGGCTGACCCAAGTCAGATTTTGGCATGTACTGTGAGCAACCTGACACAACAATGCATGTCAGGGAATTTTGTGTGAAAGTGGTTACAATGCAAGCTAGCACTCTTAAGTGCAGGTTGATAAAGAGGCTTTGATCGGAAAACAGTATTGGTTAGTTAATCTTTGCCACTTTCACCCTCTTCCTTTTTTTTTTAACTTTTATTGCATGTTCTTCATTGTTTCTCTTTTCCAGGTTCCTGCTACCCGTGAGGTGTTGGGTTCTCTCCCAAACGTGTTCAGTGCTCTGTGCCTGAATGCGAGAGGCCTGCACTCCTTTGTTCAGTGCCAGCCGTTTGAGCGCCTCTTCAAAGTGCTTTTGTCCCCTGACTACCTGCCTGCCATGCGACGGCGACGCAGCTCCGACCCTTTGGGTGAGTTGGATCGTATGTGCTGTTGTTCAGATTTTCCTGTGTGGGACCTGCTTGAGTGAATGATATGTTCTGTGTTTGGCTTCAGGTGACACTGCATCCAACTTGGGCAGCGCTGTAGATGAGCTCATGAGACACCAACCAACTTTGAAGACTGATGCTACTACTGCCATTATTAAGGTAGTGTGCATTTTTAGTAAGAAGTACTCTTTGAAATGTCATCACATGATTTGGCAAGATAATTAAAGCTAAATTGGTGTTACAGTTACTGGAGGAGATCTGCAACCTAGGTCGAGCCCCTGAGTATATCTGCCAGAAACCGTCTATCCAGAAAGCAGATGGCACTGTGGCAGTGCCACCAGCTCGCTCCAGCCATGCTGCTGAAGAAGCTTCAAGTGAAGATGAAGAGGAAGAAGAGGCCCTCCATACGTTCAGCCAGCAGCAGGGGGAACCAGAGAGCAACAGACAGTCAGTTCCACTTGAACTGTATGACGCTGAGTTCATAACACAGTAGAATAGAGCAACAACTCTTTACAGACTGATATTTTTTCAAGTCAACTGACTAAATTTCAAACATTTTAGCCTATAGTTGTCATTTTGATGATATGTGGATTTTTGCAGGGTGGTGGGCACTGAGGAGCGGATACCCATCCCTCTAATGGATTATATTCTGAACGTGGTGAGTATTGATTGTTTGACAGTTTTGGTATTCTTTTGGATATGTTGTGAATTATTCCAAGCTGTGGAGCAGTGCTGTAATTTCTCAGTTCAGTCACTGATTTGTGATGCACGTTTTTCCAGATGAAGTTTGTGGAGTCCATACTAAGCAACAACACCACAGATGACCACTGTCAGGAGTTTGTCAACCAGAAGGGCCTGCTTCCACTGGTTTCTATTCTGGGCTTGCCCAACTTGCCCATAGACTTCCCCACCTCTGCGGCCTGCCAAGCTGTGGCAGGTGTCTGCAAGTCCATATTGGTGAGTACAAGAGAAATATTACTGTGGTGATTTTTTCAAATGCCACACATTAACATAAACGTGATATTAAAGTGCCAGTTTTAGCCAAACGACTTAATCTACGTTCCCTGGGCAATACATCACTTATAAATGTATAATAATAACAGTTATAATCTGCTGAATTCAACTGAAGCTTTTTTACTCCCTCAACTTCTCCACCTTAGACTCTTTCACATGAGCCTAAGGTACTCCAGGAAGGCCTGTGCCAACTGGACAGCATCCTGACATCTCTGGAACCACTTCACAGACCAATTGAGGTGCCTGGTGGATCTGTGCTTCTCAGAGAACTGGCCAACGCGGGTCATGTCACCGACGCCACGTTATCAGCCCGTGCCACGCCCCTTCTTCATGCACTTACTGCAGCACACGCCTACATCCTCATGTTTGTCCATACTTGCAGAGTGGGACAGGTAAATATGAATGTATTTTATTATCAAACAGAATTGACACCCCTCCCCCTATTGTAATGACATAAAATCACTTGATTACACAAAGCTGATCTCACATTGTTCACCTAACAATAGGCTGCATGTGATGTTGTAAAGAGATTGAATACTTATGCAGCCAATTAGTTTATTTACTTGTACTTAATCTAGATAATTTTTTTTTCAAATTTATGATCATTTTACAATGGTTCAGCAGCCCTGAATGTTTCTGTTCTCTTTCTAAACAGAGTGAGATCAGGGCTATCTCTGTCAACCAATGGGGCTCCCAGCTTGGCTTGAGTGTTCTCAATAAGCTCAGTCAGCTCTACTGCTCTCTCGTATGGGAGAGCACTGTGCTGCTGTCCCTTTGTACACCTAACAGGTAAATCTCTTATCTTTTTCCCCTTTATTTTAAATGTGTGGTTAGCTGTAACCCTCTTGACACCTCTCGCCCATCCCCAACAGCCTGCCACCAGGATGTGAGTTTGGCCAGGCTGACATGCAGAAACTGGTGCCCAAAGAGGAGAAGCCATCTGGCAGCACTGCAGCAACAACAGCCTCTGGCTCCAGGAGAACTGGTAATATAACAATTTAACTTAAAAACAGCAGTGTCCTACCATGTCCCTGGAACACTTTCCATCAACTTCACTTTCCTCTACCTTTATCTAGCAGAGTCTGAGACTGTGTCTGTGGATTCATCTGCTGGTGGACTGTTGGAAGGCATGGGTCTAGATGGGGACACCTTGGCTCCCATGGAGACAGATGAACCCACTGCAACAGACCCTAAGGCCAAGTCCAAACTTACCCCAGCTATGGCCACCCGCATCAAACAGATAAAACCGCTACTCTCTGGTGAGATGATTTTCTATGACACCCAATCCATTTTTATGTTTTTAAAAAATATTTATTTTTATTTATTTTATTTTTTTAAAATGTCCTAAATTACCTTTGAAATGACTTGAATGTCTCACTGACCTCCTTGTTTGTTTTCCAGCTTCATCTCGACTAGGTAGGGCTCTGGCTGAGCTGTTCGGCTTGCTGGTGAAGCTGTGCGTGGGCTCTCCAGTCCGCCAACGCCGCTCCCACCATGCCACAAGCACAGGCACTACCCCCACACCTGCTGCCCGGGCCACTGCCTCTGAGGCATCATGCCCCCAGAGCAAAAGAACTTTTGCGCATGAGGTGGTAGGGGTACTTCCTCTCATCAAACAGCATGGGAGATGTGAAGCCCACTGAGCAGATGAAGAAAGTCAGCCTGCCAGGCAAAAACACACGTAATATTACCTCTGTGTACAATGCACTTATTAACAACGGCAAGCGGTGGTAGTAGTCTGTTCTTTACCTAAAGCGAGGAGTGGGTGTGTAGGGTGGGGGTTGCCAGCTCAGACCTTGGTGAGGAGCTTGGTAAGAGCAGA